CCCTCGCCGGGCCCCGGCGCGCGGGCAAATTGCGAAATTCGTCGGCTCGGCGGCCGCTATTTACTAATAGTAATCAACACGCGCGAGCAGGCCAGGCGGAAACCGCCGCGCGCGCCGCCGCGCGGCACATCGGTGAGACTCGCGCGCGACGAAAATGACTTTTCGCGATTAATGGATGCGCGATTCCGATTATTAGCACGCGACGATGCCGGCCGTTACGCAACGTCGATTTCCCCTTCGCATATTGTTATTTAGTCGCAAAAGTGAGTAATTGGCTAATAGACCCATTATGCGCATTCATGTAATCACTCGCACATGGAGAATGCAATAAACTTCTCTGCAGGGGGTGTATTATAAAAAGCAGGTTATAAAATATCGTTGCGCGAGAGAGACGCGAAACGCGCTTCGGGGAGAGCAATTAGCTCGTCAACTCGCTCAATTGGCGAGGCGGATCGAATAATTTCACGGAACAAACGTGATTCGCCGGTGATTGCATAGAAACAATTTGCTTATTGCTTGATTCACGTCGCGTGTTTCCACGTGAGAACAACAACAGGCCTCGGGAATCTCCCGGAGCTCCTTCCTCCCGGAGCTTTTAATTCCGATCGATCGGGCCTGAAGCGCGCGCGGTGTGCTTCGGTCGGTCAGTCAGCCGCGCGCCGCGATCGCAAGTCCTTTAATTAACCAAAGCTATCTCTCCCGGCCGAATTATGTCCGTTATCGCGCACGCGTATGAATTTCTATTAAATCACGCAGAATGTTATTGAAAATAATCACGGCGAGGGATTGCGTTATTGGATCTCTTCCGCGTGGTTAATTCGGGCAAATTCGCGTCGCCCGGAGCGATCGGGAAATTTACGGGACGGCAACTCGGCGGTGTCAACGATATTAACGTAAAAACTGGAGGAGCATTACACGCGTCGCGTAAACGTACGTTCAGCCCGGCGGGCGTATTCAATTCTGAAAAACGCTTCGCGCGACGCAAACGAGACTCGCGTCACGGATCTCATATCTTTTTTATGTATACTTTCCATACAGCTGGTCGCTGCGCGATGAACGATATTAACGCTATTAGTTTCGTTATTAATCACGCTTGAAAAGTTGCCGGTGTGATAGACAAAGCTCGGATGCTAATTGAAAGGAGCGAGAGCTCGAGGGCGGAAGGAAATTTTCCCTTGAGAGTTCAAACGCGAACTTGCCTCCAAGAGAAGGAGAAGCCTTTCTGTTACATCTCTTTTTTTTCTTTTCGTAACGAGCTCTTTGACTCGATCCGGATCGTCAGGGCGCGCTCGTTCGGATCCTCTCGGAAAACACATGTACGTATGCCGCAATATCCCCACCCACCTCCCCCCCCTCTCAAATAAAGGGAAAAAAGAAAGGAGAAAATGTATGAAAAATACAAAGTATCAAATTTTGAGCCCGGCGTGACGCGAAATCGCAACGAAAGCTCGCGTCACCGCCGGCGGCGTCGCGCATGCGCGCACGCGGTTATGGACACCGGGTAGATTAACTTCTCAATGGAGCGACGAAGATACCCGACAATTCAGAGGGAACGAGATACGAAACGGCCGATAAAACTCGGAATCGCCGAATTCGGGGAATCGAGTCAAGCCCAGAGCGGACAGCAGCTGGCAAAAGCTCGGCGGCAGCGGCGGCGGCGGCGGTTCAACCGAACGGTCTCTCTCCCCGGTTCCGGGTTATTTTTTCGAGCGACTGCTATCAGACAAACGGACGAGCGAGCTTTGCGACTCCGCGAGCACGCGCACCCGGGCTCCCGGCCCAGAAGCCATCCTTTACGTTTCCCCGGCGATTCAATTTAACCGCGACCGGGCGAACGGCCGGACCGGCGGGAGGCGGCCACGAGTTGTCGAAGTAGATTGGATCTTATTGAATCCAGAACTGTCCTGCCGGAAGGACGGCGCGTCCTCCCTGCACTTGATGAAGACGAGCTTGTCCCGTGCCGTATAAAACAGCGCCCTCCTGTCGCTTGCCCGGTATTGGATTGCGACGGCGGCGGCGGCGGCGGCGGCGGCGGCGTCTTCGAGTCAACACCTGCGCTGGCACCTCGACAGGAGGACGAGAGACAACGGTCGCGCCGAAGCGGCTCGCAAAAAAGTTGGCGCGACCGTACCATAAAGAGAGAGAGAGAGAGAGAGAGAGAGAGTGTGTAACATTTGATTGCCGGCGATCGAACGCTTCTACGTCGTTCGCCGCGGATCACTGCGTCGTCGTTCTCTTTTCCAGGACCGTAGATCGTGCGAGAGAGAAGCGGAGGCGACGAAGGATCGAAGGACTCGAGATGGGGTGGACCGCCAGCAGGGACCGTCGTCACTGCCGTCACCACCCCTGCCGACGGTCTCCGTAAGGCGCGGTTTACACGACGCGCTTTCTTTCGCCGGCGAATAACGCGTGTGTCCGAGAGCACTCGCGCGCGATGTACACACGTCCGGTCAAAATATCGAGCTAACAGAAGTATCGCTCCGTAAGTTGTTGAGGCTGACTTTCCCCGGAAGGATCCGCGTTCTCGCCGGGGCGTCGCGAAAGCCGTCGAAATGCTCGCGTTGTATCGTCACGTCGATGCAACTGCGAAGTGTCCGTGTGTAATATTTTGACGCGCGTGGGCGTGTATTTGTTGTCTTCAAACGCGCGTCGTTTAATCCTTTACGTCCTGACAGGACGCTTCAAAGCACCGCTCTATATAAGCGCGCTCAGATGCTTTTCAACTTTTCCTTCCATGGCTTACCCCTCATTCCTGTCGGCACTTGTCAGCACCACCTTAAGATCTAATCATTGAATTGTTTTAAAATTTATTTTCCTACTTCCTTACTACTCCTATGTATCTATAATATGCCAGAAGCTACTGAATTGCATACAAATGTAATTAAGGTCTCGAGTGAATTATTTCAGGTTACAAATGGTTAATTCGTTCAGGCATCTTTGAACGACGTGCAATCGAGACGACGAGAAACGTGCGAACAAAGTTTCGGCCAGTTACACGTTCATGTATCATGAGATAATACACTTAGATATTTGCAGCGTACTGACTGAGGCGTCGGCAGGGCCAAGCGGAAGGGTCGAGGAGGGTGCAGCAGGGTCGTTTCCAAGGCGAGATGATTCATCAAGACGTAATTTTTAATCAAACTTGGGGCAAGTGTAATCGCCGCCAGGAAATGAAAGCGTAATTGCGGGCTACGAGTCATTTTTTATGTAGAAACCAAAGTAAGGCGCAACATCTCGCGCGCGCGCGCGCGCGCGCACGCGAGAGAGAGAGAGAGCGGTCGAGAATATCTCGGCTTTAGCGGCATGAGACGACAGTTTACGGCATCCTAAGGCGGAAGGTGCTTTTTTAATGCCGACCAGCGGAGCCGGAGTTTTTCCGAAATACGGCTGGGCTGTTCATCAGCTGCTTTCAAAGTCGCGCGAACAAGGACGCGCTTCTTGCATCAGACGAGAGAGAGAGAGAGAGAGAGAGAGAGAGAGAGAGAGGAGGAAAGAAGACGAGAGGAGAAAAGGAGAATGCGATGCATGCTACACGCTCTTTTCAGAGTGTCATACTCTGTTCGAGCGCGAGAACCGCGCGATGTTCTTTAATCCGCGCGTCGTTAAACCCGGCCTCATAAGCTGACTCACTTGCCCGGCGCCGCTCTTGCGCCGCTCTCCGCGTCTTCTTCGTGCTCATATTTACGTATTTACACGGCGCGCGATTCCGCGGTAAAACGCATATTTAACGGCGCTCCGCAATTTTTCCTCAAATTCCCGCGGATTCCACGGTCAAATTAAATCGGAGCGCACCGACGCGAGCGCGAGCTCTCGCCGACGGAAGAGAGTATCGTGTAAGCTGCGCTTAAACCCAGATACAGGGACTCCGCAATTCATTCGGTTAATTCGCGCGAGTGATCCAATAATGCTTCCTACGAGGCCGTTTTTCAAAGTGGAACTCGCTCGCCCGCGCGGCGCATCTACTCGCCCGGATATTGGAAGACTCTGGAAGTCGAGTAACAATGAAAAGGACGCTTCCTCCACGTCGACGGCAAAAAGTTACGACAGTTGCGGCCAGCCGTCGGGATTGCGCGCGGGAGTTTGTTAACACACACACACGTACCACACGCGCGCTGTGACGTGCGTATGATTAAAAATCCGAATGAGAGCGAAACGAAGCAGGTGCCGAGGTAGGCGACGTTATGAAAACGCCAGAGATATTTCGTGTTTAATCAGAAAGCGAAAAAAAAAAAAAGCGCCGCGAGCCCGTGGCGATGTGTAAATCCCCTCCCGCAGACTACTAGTCCGATAATTAAGTTACATGGAATAAAACAGAGTGCTCGGCGCAGCGGAGCGGATCGTCGTGATGTCATCGAGTGACGTTCAAACGACCAATTCTTTCAATTAACGATATATCACGTAAATGGAAGCAGCATGATAAATTAAAAACTGCTTTACGGGAAAATCCACACGCTCGGACGTTTCCGCTTGTTTATGTCGATCTTAAGTATTTTTGCGTGCAGCCGACACGTTTCAAGAGCTCGAGCGAGTCTCGCGCGCGGATGCCTCGAGGAGCTGCGATAAACACTGTTCCTACGCTCTCCCGCTGAAGTAACGGAGCGAGAGAGAGAGAGAGAGAGAGAGAGAGAGAGAGAGAGAGAGAGAGAGAGAGAGCGAGAGAGAGAGAGAGAGAGAGAGAGAGAGAGAGAGAGAGAGAGAGAGAGAGAGAGAGAGAGAGAGAGGAAGAGAAAGAGAGAGGGGAAAGAGAGACAGAGAGACAGAGAGACAGAGAGATAGAGAGAGAGAGAGAGAGAGAGAGAGAGAGAGAGAGAGAGAGAGAGAGAGAAAGATGAATTTGTCTAATTATCTCTCTCGACCGGTTGCCGGCGCGTCTATCTTGTTAAGACGGAGCACGTGCAATTCATTCCGGGCTCGACGGAGGGGGTGGGGGTGGGATATAGCACGCTAAAAGCAACATGTATGCATATCGTGTGCACGCGTATGTATATCGGATGGCTCACCGAAAATGGGGTTCCCGCGATGCGTCGCCAGTCCGCCCAGGGTTAACACGTGCGAGTGATCGGCCGTTACGACGAGAAGCGTTTCCGAGAGATCGACCTCCTTCATAACTGCCTGGACGGCTTCCTCCAGCGCCAGAGTCTCATCCAGCGCGCGATAAGCGTTGTTGTAATGGTGAGCGTGGTCGATTCTTCCACCTGAAGTGAAACGCCAACAGATCACGCTCGTGAGGCGCTCATGAATGCCTCATTTATTAAAGTTATCTTCGACTACTTCTCATAAGACGACGCGCGGTCGCGCGGCGACTGCTTTAGCACCACCTCCGTGGCTTCCGGGCGCGCTCGCTCGGTCGCTTTTAATAAGTGTCTAAACGTCCCTCCATCGCGTGTCGCATCCAGCTTATCATTAATTTACCGCCTCACATGCTGCGCGTGCGTGCGCGCTTTTTCATTCGAGGACACGTCCAAATTTTAATTTAAATATCTACGATCCACGCGATACGGGAGAGCAAGTAACGTTCCTCCTCTCTCCCTCTCCTTCCCCACGTTCTCCACCTCTTCTGCCACGTTTCAGAAAGTTAAATTAAATTAATTTAATTAAAAAATACCGCTCTCCCGATATTTTTCTTCATTCGCCGGATAAGAGCACTCGTTACGGCTAAATTCCCTCGGCTCTTATATCGTGGTCGAGAACTACGACGATCGTGTCTCCTCGTTCGTCGTCGCGCGTTCGAGTTGGAATGTTTGTCAATCGAGAGCGCCCCCCGTTAATAGTTCTGCGATGGATCTTAATCAGCGGTGTCAATCACGGCCGAGATGTTGCTCGTTGCGCAATTGTGCAATTGCGACTTGCATCCCACGAGAGCGGAGCGGTTCCCTCGTTATTGTATTAACAAAGTTACACGAATGAACTTAACTCGATCGTTGGCGATAACTCCATCAACGGCGAAAGGCCGCACGCGAGGATCGTTCGCGGGCGGCCGGCGATGATAAAAAAACGGCCGATAAATTTTCGTACGACGCACTCGTGACGCAGAACGCCGCCAAACGCCATAAAGATATATATACGTGTGCGCGCGCGTGCGCGTGTATGTGTGTCGATCGCAACTTGGCACAATAAATTGCGATAACGGCGAATTAACAGCATATAACAAATAGAAATTTGACATTTCCAATTCGGCGCGGCTCTCGCAATGAATTCGCGCAAAATTCGGTCGATTAATATTAAATTCTCGCCCGAAACGAGCCGCTAATTAAATATTGAAGAAACGCAGGAGCACGGCATTGAATTAATACTGTGAACCGATCGATCGGCTCGTAATTGAATGTATTATGTTACATAGCGACACAACGCGCAGTCGCAAATGCGACGCGATATCCACGTGGGATCGCGGAATCGTTTGATTCAGGGAGATCGGAGAAAGCTCGGTCTCCCTCTCTCTCTCTCTCTCTGTCCACATGAAAGTGCAAGCGAGGTTAACAGAATTACAACCGCTGCACGGCCGCTCTTGGGCTATCTCTCGGGCAGTTATCGGCATAGTTACATACATACATACATACATACAACGTAGACTTGGCCGCGCGTGTTTCAATCCACACAAATGCGCGGATCAGCGCGTCGAATATACCGCTCGCGGTTGCGTCAACCATTATACGGGACATAATTCCTACGATCCATTCGTCCCTTCGTGCATCAAATGGCGTTATTGATAGGTTTACCACTTCAAAAGCATCGCAACATGTATACATCTCGCCGGCATTAGCCCATTAGTTGAATGCAACTTTCGTCGGACGCCTAACCGATGTGCCTCGGACGATGACGATAATGCGACGATGCTAATAATAACGGCCGCTGATATCTCGCCGAATGATCCGAAATATCCTCCGAATGATGAAATTCATTAATATCGTCGAGTGCGAGCGACCTCATGCGACACAATTTCTGTAATTGCGACATTACGCAGCTGACCTAATAAACGTCTATTATTCCGTCCTCGAAATCTCGTCGAATGAAATTCTGACCGAAAAATGAGACGACCGCGCAGTCGCTGGAAGTAAAAGTAATCTCTCACTCATACAGACGCGAACTCTTCCGCTCGGAGTCGCCGAGCGAATATTTCCCCTCGGAATTGAAAATCTGATGCACCGCGGGACAAGTTCATTCTAATCGATCCAAACACTCGCTCGTACCGATCGAGAAGCCGCACGAAGAAAAGTGTCTGGTCGGACGAAGCAATTTTCTGCTGAAATACGAACGATTCCGAAGTTTTGAATTAAAAATACCTGCCAAGAGTTAAGCAGAAACCTTGATAATTTAGATCGAATTCCGATAGCTTCGAGCGAAATTCCTGAATCGTTCAAATTTCCGCAGAAAATCGTCCGTCCGACTGGACATTTTTCTCAGCGCGCTCCAAGTTCGAGTTTTAAACATCCACTCCTGCGATTCCGTGAGTGGCAGTATCTCCGCCACCCGGATGCCACCATTCGGACGAATGTTCACTCGTCTCGAGAGAGATTTCACTCGGCGAGATTTAGAGACTGGGGGAGCAATTACTTTTGTACTTCCGTCACTTAGGACCGCCGTCGAGATGGATCGCTCGAACTGACATTATAATCCGCGTATCTCGGCCGCGCGTCGAAAGGAAATTTACCCCCGTATCTCCGAGTATACATCTTCGCGCGGCTCAACATTTATTTTCCGCCGTTGCATAAGAAATCAGCCCATATTTCTTCACGATACCTTCACCTCGCCGCTCGCGCCGCTCGCGCCGCTCGCGCTGCCAGACGCGGGCGAGGTGCACGCCTTTCACGTAGCTCGTGCTGCGGAGGAATTCAGGGAGAATAGTAAAGTCATCAAGCTTACGATCATCAACGACGGGGCGCTCATAGTCGAATCTCAAGTTTCAAGATCCACAGTAGGAAAAATGTCTGGTCGGATGGACCAATTTTCGAGTGAGATATGAACGATTCAGAAATTCCGCGATTCAAAAGACCAGACCATTCCGCTTAAGTTAGCCAGAAGTCTTCGTCATTTCGACTGAATTCCGAAAACCTCAGCCGGAATTTCTGGCTTGTTTACACTTCATCAGAGAATTGTTTCATTCGACCAGACATTTTTCTCTCCGTGTTCTTCAGTTCATCCGCAGGCGCCATGCGGGTCGTTACATTCGCCACGGAGTGTCTAAAACTTGGCACGATCTTAAATCTCCACTAGTCGCGATATCCGATAACTACACGTTCAGGTTACAACGTATGGCTACACGGCGCTGCAGGGGTTTTTTTATCTATTCTAATACTCGTCAGTTTGTTTTTCACTGTTTTTATGTGCTCAGCATGAGCACCTGATGTTAAATGCTAATGAGGGCAAAATTGTTTCACGGAGCAGAGGAAAGTAATGAGAAAGCTAGTGCATCCGTATCAGGTTGGCGCAAAAATAATTGCGGTTTTTTACGTATCGAGTACAAAGACATTGTATCAGTTGAAAATTATTTTTATTAATCAAAATAAAGACCATTGGCCTGCACACATTTCCTCCAACGGGAAACAAATTTGTTTATTCTAGCAAGATAGAATTCTGGAAAAGAGATAATGATAACTAGAAAAATCGGCGCCAAACTCAAAATGATAATAACTTTATTTTTGCAATTATTTTTGCATCAACCTAATACACTGCGAGATACATACGTGGGTGGAAAATATTGCGATTAACGGAGAACTAAACACGCGGTCTGCTTATGAAAACCTGTCTGTGAGTACACGGAAGAAGAAACTACGAAAAGATAAACCAACTGGGTTGTCCGACAAGCTCGTGTGAGTTTTCCGGATTAAAAACGCTCGTGTTGGCTCTTTGGAATTTATGATCCATACTACCTCCCCCTTTCTCTCTCTCTCTCTCTCTCTCTCTCTTCCCCTGACAATGTGGACTAGTCGTGGATTAGTTTTGATTAGCGCCCTGATCTAGTCATCATCCGCGACCGGAGGTGTCCCCCAGAACGTTCCGCGGTAAGGTCAAAATTACCCGCCCTTAAATTCAACGAACCACTCCCGGACTTTTGGTTTGGTAAAACAATGGCATTGTCTCTGCACACTTTATACATTCGTTCCATTGTCTGCACAGCGTTTTTCACTTTGCTGTAGCAGGGAAACATCACACGCCGAAAATACACCTTTTTACCCTCCGTCCTTACAAGCCAGTAGCGATGCACAGACTCAACCAGTCTCTCAGAGGTCTCAGACTTTTGCTACGCGACGCGTTGAAAAATGTCACTTTGTCGGATAATATACTGGATGTATCCGAACTCTACCGGTTCAGTTTCGAGATAGTCGCTCCATAATTCAAACGGAAATGTACGCAGTACATTTACATTACGAGCATCAGTCAGTCACTACGTTTAACTATTCACAATTTGTAATGCGCAAAGAGCGACGGCTGAGACCTGTCGCAAGTTGCTCAGAATCATGTTCTTGACAGCGACAAGTCAAGGTCACTGAAATCGATGAAGTCGCCACTGATATTAATATTTTTACTTCGTTCTTTTTGTTCTTACTTTCTTTTTCCAGAATCTGTCCCATGCAGCGTGTACATCGCGAGTGCGGGGGAGAGAGCAGACTTTCGATCGCGTCTTACGGACGTCATACGGCTTAACCCTTTGAGGCACGTATTTTTCAGAAAACCCGAATCACATGAAAATTTATATACGGGGATTTTTGGAGTCGCTGATTACGAATCCGTTATCAGATTTTCAAAATTAAAGATGGCGGTATTCAAGATGGCGGCCGCAAATATGAAAAATTAACACGTTCGCGACGATCAATAAATCCATTGGTTCACTCTAAAGGACGCACAATTTATTTTTTAATATATTGCTTCTTTGCGTTTGTTTTATAACCAAAGGCTTTGCTTACATCTTATTCAGTGAATTTTTCATGAAAGAGATGCACTGAGTGTTATAGAAGAATTCAGAAAGAAAGAGGTAGCAAAGAAGCCAGGGCCAAGGCATCAAAAGTTGTTACATTTTGTGCAATGCTTCATAGTGTGTGACCCACCGGTAGATACGCACGTCTGTTAATAAACCAGTTAATAAACGTCTGGTATAAACCAGTGTGACCCACCAGTGGGTCACGATGTCGCGAACGTGTTAACTAACCAGAAGACAATGTCAGGTAAATATATTAGAATTCTATGATCGGCAAACTTG